ATGTCATCCACCACTGAATCATCAGCACCTTGCAGAGCATCTAGCACAAACAAACACTCAATAAATATCTACTGATTAAATGAAATAAATAAGGGCTCATGGTCAACTACTTTTGTCTTGATCCCAGCTCCTCAACATCTTTGCTCCATTGATTATCTCCTCGTAAAAGGCAGCCCCATTGTAGTAAAAGATTTGAGGTCGGCCAAATCCCCAGTCAATATGACCTTAAGCAGGTTTTCTAATCACTCTCTCTGCCTCAGTTTTCTTACTTATAAAATAAGATACTGTTCATAAGGTTTTGTTAAAACAACTCCCATAAAAGGCCAGACAGGGACCCACTAAACATTTGTTGAATGACACAAATGATCATTCTGTTCTGTAGTTGCAGAACAAAACATAACTATCAAAATCTAATTTGCCAAAGTTGATCCTCACGTAAGCAACAGACAGGCATCAACGGTTGGAATGCACTACTGCAGTCTGTCTGCTGTTAAACATCAAAGGAAGAGCTTAACATCTGCCTTAAATGCAAGAAAACAACAATTAGTTCACAAGTAAAAGGGAAAGGTGCACAATCCAATCTGACCTTCTTCTTTAAACCAAAGTATTAAGGGATTATAGCTGACAGCAGACTGAAGGTTTTCTGCAGGGAACACACACAGTGAGGGAAGGCAAGCTAGAAATGGTTTTTAAACTCAGCATTTATTGACAGCTTCTGCTTTTCACAGCCAAGAATGCACAGGCCAAGTTTGCCTTTAAAGTGCAAAACTAAACCACCACAGACTACAAGAATAATATTTATCTCCACCGTGTTTTCATCTAACCGTACTTACTCTTCCAACAATTCAAACTGGAGAATCTGGAAAGAGAGAAATATCACAGGTCTCTGTGCAACTTCAAATTTATGGAAAAAATAAACTTGTTTTTGCTGTGCAGGGATATCCTAAGAGACCCACTCTGCTCCTATTTCTCTTCTAAGAAGCCCCCTGTGTTCTATTTCCATAACACCTGAACTCTCTGTCTTCTGAGGCTTCAAGAGCTATCCAGAGGCCCTTCCTTTCCTCTCTTCCAGTAAAAGCAGCCTAGACAAGCAAGGAGACTCCCTGGGGTTTGGTTTCCTTTCTCAGCCCCCTGCTGCTCCCCTGGAAAATGAAAGAAACCTAGAGTTTTCCAAAGCCCAGAGGCAATGTTGATCTCTAATAATCTTTCCCATTCTCTTAAAACCCATCACTTCCTACTCTACAGGGATACAGGGCTTGAAGAGAAGCCTAAACCATCCCTCATGGTTCAAGAGAGTAGATGCAGTAGTTACAAGAGAACACGAACTCTGGTTTAAATGCAGCCAAGGTTGTCCTGGGATAAGCATGGTCAAAATACAGCAGCATTAAATTCTGCCCTACAAACTGGCAACTTTGACGTCTGAAAAAGGTTAACTGAGCAAAAGGGGCGCCCACCTGTACTAGGATTACTCTGCCTAAATTCCCAATGGACTAGGTATACAAAACTATTATCATCACTTATTTGATTGTACCATGTAAGCTAAGAAACTATTCTATTAGAAGAAACCATGACTACATTATGTATACACAGGTTTCAAAATCATCGCTCTGGGCTGGGGATGTAGCTCAGTGGAAGAGCTCTTGAAGACAGGGTCTCACTAACTTGCCAGACTGGCTTCTTCCTGCTTCACAAGTGTCTTGTTCATCTTTGAATGAGTTCCTGAAATGGTACCTGAAACATAGTGGTTGTCCAACAAACACTAATTTAGTAAATGAACTAAAAAATTGAGAAAACATGTAAGGTCTGTAGAATATTCTGCATCTCTAATGAATGTGGACTGCAATTTGCTCCATAAATAATATCTAATGTCTATCAAATGTTCCTTCTGTGCCCAAAATTTCATCTGAGTCTTTATGAGTTTCTTTGGAGAGAAAATAACGTGGGCAAGACTCCTCTTAGGTATAGGAATATTAACTAATACAGCTAGGGAGAAGGAGAATGTCACCTGAATTCCTGAAATGTACCAAAGGGACCACAGAAGACACAAAGCTTTATATACAGAATCTATCAGCCAGTGACACATACTTAGGCCCATAAACCTCCAGTTTAGAATCTGTCTGGTTATAGTAAACACTGAAGAGATGGACCCTATTCAGTTCTTTATTAGATGAAAAACCTACACTGCACATTTCACATATTTGTAACTCCTTTCTGAAAATTAGGATAGCCTCAAAATAAACAAAAGGCTAAGATCCAATTATTTTCCTTTCACTAAAAGTGATGTTGCAGGTAAATGTTTATTAACATGGATAATCATTATTTATTGTTAAGTGGAAAAGATGGGTTACCAATTTGTAGCACTACTACAGAACAATTTGTACTTAAAAACAAGCATAGGTATGTATTGAATAGAATAACAGTTTTTTTTTTACTTCTTAAAAAAAAAAAAAAATCCATGGCAAATAATTATAGACTCAAGTTTCCAAAAATCTACCTTCAGTAATTAAGTAAAATACTCAAAATAAGGAATACTTTGAAAATGCATATGTGATTAAGAAAAAGGGAGTTATAAGGAAGTGCGGGTATTGTTTGGGTCCGTCCTACATTTTCTCTAAAGTTGTGTGTTTGCTTTGCCAAAAGGAAACCACTGAAACCGTTCAGTGTTCTATATAGGTTTTAAAGCACTGTCAGAAATATTCTCTCGTGACTTTAATAAATCTCTAAAAGGACTCCCCACTTCCCCTCCCAGTCCCTTCATGTTAACTTCCACATAACAAGTTCTTCAGAACTAGATTTGTGTGCAGGATGCTTTTGTGCTTTAACCTTCCGTTTTGTTTTGTTTTTATTTTTAACTGAAGGATGAACGGTGAACATCCTTCCATGCACATGAGCATTCATTCACAACATGGACTTTGGTAAGCAGGGGCCTTTCTGCCACCATCCCTCCGGTTATGCAGGGATGTCTTTAGCCAATCGCTATGAACAAAAGCCCCACAGATGCCGCACCTCAAGAAAATGGAAACCTAACTTTTACAACATGCCACCAAGTGTCCCAAAAGGGAATATTTTGATATAATGGAAGGAAATTGTTTCCCTAGGGGCCATATTGAATTTTAAAGAAGTACTGAATTATTTGAAAGGCAGTTTGAGGAACTTGTTTCTCAGAACAAGGTATATTTCCTATCTAAACACACTGCAACTACCAGGTCCTGCAGTCCAGAGAGGGCATCGATTGCCCTTTTCATTCTGCCTCTGGGGATGAATCAGTGCCTCCCAACATAAGTCTCTTTCAAATAGCCTTCCAAGATGGAATAATAAGTATCAACAAAGAATTCCCTTTACTGCAAGATTAGTATTTGATTAAAGATAACAAAATTCAACCAAATTCCTATAATTTTAAGAATTCCACTGACAATCTTTCACTATTACAAAATTTTACTAAAACAAAAAAGCTTGGCTTTGGTATATAATTTCAAGTCCTTGTTTTCTCTGCAATTATATTTTAGCAGTATTGACAGACCTTAGAAATTATATTCATGTCTATGTATGTGCATATATTTATATATATATGTATATATATATACACATACACATATACATACACAAATGCATATATTTTTTCATTACAAATATTTCGATAATCTTCAAATCAGTTTATATTATTATTACAAAATACACAATTTAATTATAATTAGAGTTGTAGTGAATATAGTCTAATAAAACCTACAAATTTGATTTTACTATTTAATGTGATCATAAAATGTGTTAAGTTCTTTTCTGTTTTGCTTTGTCATTTTTTTTTAATATTTATTTTTTACTTATAGGTGGACACATATCTTTATTTTATTTATTTTTATGTGGTGCTGAGGATCGAACCCAGGGCCTCGTGTGTGCTAGGTGAGCACTTTACCTCTGAGTCACAATCCCAGCACCTTAAACATGGTTTTTAAGTAGCTCATTTACATTGTCAGAAATGGAGATGACTCAAAAGGCAAGTTTAGAAATCTAGTAATTTAATGGGAAAACAGCTTCTATTATCAATAATATTGTTTCTGGAACATTCCAGGAAGGAGATGGGTATGCTTGTGTGCATCTTTCGTTTTGCATATATTCTTACAGGCATTGGATCCTTAATACCTTGAAGCTGTACTTACAAAAAAGTAAAATGACCTGATTATCTGTAAGTCTCATTTTACCTTTTCCAAAGATCAGGGAATAAAACTGAACTTTCTGGTCCAAAGTAAATTTTTCTCAAAAAGACAGCTAAAGCTCTAGGGGTGGAGCTCTAGGGGTGGAGCTCAGGGGTGGAGCATTGCCTAGTACTTGCAAAGTCAGATCACGAGCACTGCAGAGGGAAGAAGGAAGAAAAAAAAAAAAGGAAAGGAAATAGAGACAGGGAAGGAGGAAGGAAGAAAGGAGGAGGACAGCAAAAGCACTCACACAGGTATCTCAATGACAAGGTCTTAAGAGTCCCTCAAAAGTTATAAAATACTAAAACTGAGAGGTACATCAGTTCTTTCAAGACCAAGGTGCATAAGGGATTTATAAGACAAGCTAGCCATGTCTTGTTCTCCTGTCTAGACAAGGAAAGAAATAAGTAGGTTTCATTTTTACCCTAAAAACCCAAAACCAAAGGGCCTACTCAAAATGCCTCCAAGTCTAACACACCTGTAGCTCCAAAAACTGGACTCACTTTTGTTTCATGCTGTATTACACTGTCTTATTTCAGTTTAACTCATCAACTATAAACCTTACAAAGGTTTGATTGCAACCTTGAGACTCACTATATGAACCCAAAAGATGGAACAATACAGAAAGCATCCTAATCTCTTCGAAGTTTCTATAAAGAGGTCTCCTAAGTCCCTTGCACATTTCAAATCCATAAAAGCATAAAATTTACTAAGCTGGGCATGAAAGAAAGTAGAAAAGCCATAGCCCCATTGGTATCTTTCTGAAAGAAGTGTAACAGAATTTTTAACTACGAATTAAGAATTACTTACTTTTCCCAGATCTTTGGTTCAGAGCTCAGAAGGCAAGCTCCCTTCTCCCCACAAAGTCTGTTAATTAATAGCAATCACCCAAGGCGGTCAGGCAGCCCAAATACATCTATAAATTGTGGAGACACAAAAATTTGAAATTCAAAGTCAGATTAGAAATTAAAAATCAAAATACCCCATTCTATTCAGACTATCTATAATTAAAATAAAGATTCCGTCGGAATACCTCAATGATGAGATGTGCAGGCTATCTTTCTTTCATAATAGATTAACAAGGCTTTTTAAATCTAGGTGGCATTTTGATCTGTCATCTTATTAAAGTTCCTAAAGCAGAACTCGGAAGGCTTCTTGGCAACTGCTCATGTTGAAAATGTCTTTCTCGGGGAGTCATAAAAAGGAACAGAGGGAGGATCTGGACTTCTAATTATACTGTCACTCGCGAGGGAGGGAGGGGAGTTCTGAAATCACACTGGCCAGCCCCTGCCCATCAAGATGAGCTCATTTCATGAACACAGAAGTGGTTGTGAATTGAAGTGAATAATAACAACAAAGAAAATTATCAACTTCTAATCACTCTTCAGATGTATGAATTTAAGCATAATTCATCTTTGCAGCGGGAATGAGAGGAGAATTTTTTTTCCTAAGAAAATGGAAAACCTAAAATTTCTGTATGATTCATAACCTCACTTAAACCATAAAATATTTCTCCAACAATCCTGCAAATAAATGCGTAGGTAACTCATTAATAAGATAAACTAGTTTGAGTAGATAACTCATTAATAAGATAAACTACTTTGAGAAGGCTAAAACAGATGCCACAGGTAACCTATAACCTAAAGTGTGCAGGTCCCTTGGGCTCTCTCATTCTGGGCCTTACATTAGATGAATTCCAAAAAGCATAATAAGCTCAATTACAAGCCTGGAGACATTAAGAAATGAGTGTATTAGAAAGAGGTAGGAGTACTGTTACAGCAAGCAATCATAACTACAAAGCAGATAGACCCACCAATACCAATAAGCATAATTTTTTTTATCAGTGTCATTGTTACTGTCAGCATTTACACAGTGCTGACTCTCACACCACATTGTTCTCTAAGTGTTTTAGTGCGTTAACTCTATTTAGGATAGGAAAGGGAATTTTGTATATCAGTTCTTCCCTAGAGCTCAGTGTATCTATCTGTACACAGCACTCTCAGTTTTGCTATAGCACGTGCATGTGTGCCAAGAGTACAATCTAAACATAATTCATATTTCAATATTTATGCATGACTTCATTGCAAGAAACACTAATTGGGAAGGCTATACCTAGATGAACCCAGTTGCATGAGGATACACCCAATGCCTCAAACATCTATCAGTGAACTCAGTTTCCCACATGGCATGAGCCACACCCATGCATACCTGATATCTCAACTCTCCATCCTATTTCAGGTCACCTATTCTACCCACACTTCATAGTAATTCACAAGTTGCAACCTTTCAAGGTGCCAAGTTCATAAGCAAATGTCAGGACTTTTCCAAGGTAAAATACCAAATTTATTGTGTTATACATTCCTTACCCATTTGATTAAATTTTGCTACTACTTATTGTTTTATATATATGACAGCAGAATGCATTACAATTCATATTACACATATAGAGCACATTTTTTCATATCTCTGGTTGTACATAAAGCATGTTCACACCAATCCGAGTCTTCATACATGCACTTTGGATAATGACGTTCATCATATTCCACCATAATTTCTAACCCCCTGCCTCTTCCCTTCCCCTCCCACCCCTCTGCCCTATCTAGAGTTTGACTATTCCTCCCATGTTCCCCCTCCCTACCCTACTATGAACCAGCCTCCTTATATCAGAGAAAACATTCGGCATTTGGTTTTTTGGGATTGGCTAAGTTCACTTAGCATTATCTTCTCCAACACCATCCATTTACCTGCGAATGCCATGATTTTATTCTCTTTTACTGCTGAGTAATATTCCATTGTGTATATATGCCACATTTTTTTTATCCATTCATCTACTGAAGGGCATCTAGGTTGCTTCCACAGTTTAGCTATTGTGAATTGTACTGCTATAAACATTAATGTGGCTGTGTCCCTGTAATGTGCTGGTTTGAGGAGATATAACCAAGGAGTGGCATAGCTGGGTCAAATGGTAGTTCCATTCCTAGTTTTCCAAGGAATCTCCATACTGCTTTCCATATTGGTTGCACTAATTTGCAGTCCCACCAGCAGTATATGAGTGTACCTTTTCCCCCACATCCTCGCCAATACTTATTGTTGTTTGTATGCATAATAGTTGCCATTCTGACTGGAGTGAGATGAAATCTTAGAGTAATTTTGATTTGCATTTCTCTAATTGCTAGAGATGAACATTTTTTCATATATTTGTTGATTGATTGTATATCCTTTTCTGAGAAGTGTCTGTTCAGATCCTTGGCCCATTTATTTATTGAGTTGTTTTTTGGTGTTTAGCTTTTCATGTTCTTTATACACCCTAGAGATTAGTGCTCTACCTGATGTGTGAGGTGTAAAAATTTGCTTCCAAGATGTAGGCTCTGTATTCACCTCACAGATTGTTTCTTTTGCTGAGAAGAAACTTTTTAGTTTGAATCCATCCCATTTATTGATTTCTTGATTTTAATCCTTGCACTATAGGAGTCTTATTAAGGAAGTTGGGGTCTTCCTCATAGAAACAGAAAAGGCAATCATGAAATTCATCTGGAAAAATAAGAGATACAGAATAGCTAAAGCAATCCTTAGCARGAAGAGTGAAGCAGGTGGCATCACTATACCAGATCTTAAACTATACTACAGAGCAATAGTAACAAAAACAGCATGGTATTGGCACCAAAGCAGATTAGTAGACCATTGGTACAGAATAGAGGACACAGAGACTAACCCATAAAATCATAATTATCTTATATTAGACAAAGGTGCCAAAAACATTCATTGGAGAAAAGATAGCCTCTTCAACAAATGGTGCTGGGAAAAATGGAAATCCATATGCAACAAAGTAAAATCTCTCATCATGCACAAAACTCAACTCAAAGTGGATCAAGGATGTAGGAATTAAACCAGAGACCCTGTGTCTTAACAGAAGAAAAAGTAGGCCCTAATCTTCATCATGTTGGATTTGCACAATTTTTAATTTAGTTATCATCTCTTTTTTAAGTATCACTGATAGTTTTTGAAAGAATCACTGATGGTTTTTGAGTATTGTATTGCCAACTCCATTTTTCTCATAAGAGCTGTGGGTTTTACTCTGTGATTTTACGTAGTATGGTGGTTTTTAGAACTACGTATATGGTATTTTAGCAGAGCTGACTAGACAATAACTAGTGTTTACACAGATGCTTGTGATTAAATTAAATTGTGATTTTTTTCATATTTTGTCTTTACATTTGTATCACTATAATGCAATACAATTTTAGAAATATTTTAATTCATAATGTTTATAATTACCAAGAATGAACAGTTATGGGTCAATTTCAATTGTGTGAAAAAATTTAAAGAAATTATCTAATGATGTTTAAATGAGGTTATCCATACTGCTAAAAAGAATTTTAAAAAGGAATGGATTTATTTTTCATTCCTTAAAATCTTTCAATAAAAAAATCTGAATTTTCTTTAAAAGTTTTTAAGATATGCATAAAGATATATATACAAAGGAAGTTTCTATTATAACTAATAACATCTTAAACAATCTAAAAACTTAAATGTCCAATGATGGATAAAGTTTTTTAAATGTGTATAATACTTAATAAAATGGGAAACCTTTTTTTAAGCAGTATACAGTGAAAAAGCGGATGATAAAGCAATTACTATCATCCCAATTCTGTATAAAAGTATGTATCTACATAAAAGATGAGAAGGAAAAAATGCCAACATTTGAAAGGGTGCTAATTGTAGACAGTAGAATTAGAACAGAATAATTTTTACTTTTTTCATATTTTGCATTTGGTAGGAAAATCCTCCTTTTATTCCCATTTTCATCTCACATGTGAATCCACAAGGTATTAATAGGTCTGGTTACGTGGCCAAAACATTGAAATTATTTTGTATCTCACACTTCAAGAATGAATACAGTCCCAAGAAGATGTTTAAAGTATATAAACCCATTACAGAGGCCAATAAAATTTGCTTTTACTGGCTAAAACAGTCACAAATTTTGTAAAACCCAGATGAAAGATTTTTAATTATACACTTGCATCCAACCTGTCTTACTGAAAGAAATTTCGTCCTGAATAAAGAAATTGTGTTCTGGATAAGTTCCTTTCAAATAAGATCAAGATTAGCCAAATACAAAGAGGAATGGACTTGTGTGGGCAAGGAGATGAACTTCTAACTTAGGGAGGTTTAAGAAAGTCGGAAAAGAGAAATCCGTCTTCGTAGCCTCCAAAGAAACTTGGCCATGTACAGATTTTCCCAACAACAACAAAGCTTGACTTCGAAAAGAAGAATCCATTTGCCAACAACAGTGAACCTTCCATCCTGAGTATGCTTGGTTCAATCCCACACACGGGTACCACCTGAGTGTGGGAGGTACACAGGGACCAAGGGGTGGTCTGGGACAATCCAACCAGTGCACACCTGAGTTCGGTCACCTGTGCTTGGTGAGCTGTGCATCTAAATGACACATCCCTCCCTCATTTTCAGGGTTGCCTTCTTGGCACACCTTTCCACCCAGGAACTATTTGGTATAGGATAGTAATTTCAAGTGTCCCCATTCTCAAGAACATGCTGGGATTAAAAGTTAATGGTCAGGTATTTATTTGTTTTTGTGGTGATCGGATTTGAACCCAGAGCCTTGTGCATGCAAGGCAAGCACTCTACCAATTGAGCTACATCCCCAGGCCAATGATCATGTTTTTGTGTATGTGGGGATGGGCTATTCTGTAAATTTCCAATGCACTTTTAACATCTGAATAATCATGTTCTTGCTATACATAGGATAGAGTAAGTAGACTTCAGTGTTCTGTTTAAACTTCCAAAAATGGTGATACAGATGAAAAATGAAACTTTTATGTTTCAAACTGCTTTTATATGACATTTTATATTTTATATTTGATAGCTTCCCTATCGAGTTACTGGCTTTGTGTTTTG